ACTCTAAATATTAACTAGATAAAATATCTATAATATACTATAGTTTATAAGTATAATAGATATTATAAGAATTATCTAATATATTTATATCTAATTAGAGAATACGCTTAGTATAATAGAGATAGTAGACTATTAAAAACTTAGTATAGAAGAAAAGTATTAGAAAAGAAATAAAGAAAAGAATATAATACTATAGTAATATAAAAATAGTACTTTTATATATAGATACTAAGAAAAAAATAATATACTACTTTATAAAAGATAGAAAGCTTTAGAATAATACTTAAGAAAGAAGAAATAGATATTATAATTATAGAGTTAAGATAATCTTATAGTACTCTAGAGTAAACTAGAGAAGAAAACTATAGAGTAGAAAAGAGTTATATAATAAAGACTACGTAACTATATAAAGTAATTCTAGTTATAGAAGTAGAATTAAAATCTTATAAATTCTAAAAAGATTAGTAAAATTATAATTCTATAGATTCTAGAGAAATTACTAGAATTATACTAAGAGATACTTATATATAACTAGAAAAAGCTTTCTTTTTATAGCTTTTTATAGTTATTACTTTATTTATTAAATTACTACTATAACTTATAATTTATAGTATTATTATATCTACTTTTTTATTACTAAAAATTCTAGCTTAAAGTATACCTCTTACCTTCTTTTATAAAAGTAACCTCTAGGTTTTAGTTAAGAGAATAGCTTATAATATTATTACGCTTACGTTCTATAGAGCTAAAGTTATTAATTTAATAATTTTAGATAAACTTTAGTACTACTAATAAAGTAATAATTTTATCTATATTAACCTTATATAATAACTAATACTTCTATAGATAATAGAATTAATAATAAAACTAGTAAGAAAGATAATAATAAGAGTAGTAGAAATAGTAGTATTAGTAATAGTAATTACTCTCTTTATAACTAAAGAGAAACTAGTAGATATAAGTAAAGTAAATACTATTAAAAAGTTCTAATTAAGAGAATAAATAAAGTTTAATTTAATACTCTAATCTAAATAGTAGAAGTTAAAAAGATAAGTATATAACTCTAATTAGTATAGTAGCTTATAGATACTATTTCTAATATTTCTAACTACTATATAGAGAATATAGTTATAAATAATAATAAGATTAAATTACGTTCTAATAGTAATAATAACTATAATAATTATAGTTTATATAAAGATAGTATAAGTATATAAAGAGATTAAGTTAATAGTATTCTATATTATAAACTCTCTAGTAAGTCTACTACTAATATAAGCTATAATAGTAATATAAAAACTATACGTTTTACTAATCTATTATTAATAACTAATATTAAATTTAATAATAGCTAGAAATATTATTATATAACTCTAGAGACTAATAGAAATAGTAAAAATATATAGTCTAATAGCTTTTTTAACTAGCTAATACTAGAGACTAGTAGCTATACTCTTCTAAAAGCTATAATATATCTATTATAGTTACTAATAAAAAAGAATATAAATAAATAAAATAAGTATATATTATTATAAATACGTCTATATTATCTAATAATAGTAAGATAACTTCTCTACTCTTAAAAATATAAGTAGTAGTAGTAATAGTAAGAGTAGTAATAACTATAATAAAGATAATTATAGAAAGTATAGTATATTACTAATATATAAGTAGAAATATTCTCTACTTACTAATACTAGTAGCTAAAAATAGTACTATTAAATACTAAATATAATACTAAAGTAGTACTATAAGTATACTATACGCTTTATAATATAATAGAAGCTATTTTAATTCTATAGTAAACTTCTCTTAAGCTATCTTTTAGTCTAAAAACCTACTTTAGAAGTATAGTTTAGTAGCTATATAACTATAATAGACTATAGCTATAATATTAGTAATAAGAGTAGTAAAAAGAATAGTAATTAGAGCTACTACCTTTAAGATAATAATTAGCTAAAGTTAATTATAAGTCTTAGTTATTTATATAGACTTATAAGTAAGTATAATTATAATAGTATTTAGTCTTTATAATTTAATACTAAGAGTTCTTTACTTTTACCTATCTATACTCTACTATATATAACTAGAGAAATAAGATTAAGATCTTCTATAAAGAGTATCTTATCTAGATAGACTCTATAGTATTTATCTAATATTACTATCTACTTACTTTTAGCTAATATAGTATTCTTAATAGCTCTTCTTAATAGCTATAGTAATATAGAAATATTCTCTACTAGCTAAGTAGTTAAGCTTCTAGAAAATACTATAGACTATCTAATAAAGCTTTATAATATTTATATTATACTTTTTATACTAGATATATAGTTTTTAATATATTTTATATATTATTCTTTTAATATAGCTAGCTACTAGATAGATTAGTAAGCGCTAGCTCTATCTAGCTTAGTTATAATAAGTATAGATACTATACCTTTATAAAATAATAACTAGTTAAGTAGTAATAATATTAATAATAAAAGCTTAAATAATAATAATAATAATAGTAATAATAAATATATAGATAATAATAATAGTAATAATAAATATATAGATAATAATAATAGTAAACTCTTAAGTTCTATAAAGAATAGCCTCTAGTTACTAAAGAATAAAGACTATTTATATAAATAGAAGAAAGAAGGTAGATTTTAGAAATAAATATATAGTTAATTTCTAGGTAGATCTAATAGAGTAGTACGTAGTTACTAGTATATAAAGTTATAAGAAAAAGCTTAGATAAGTTTAATAAACTCTAGTTAAGACTTATTATTATTATAATATTAATACACGTATCTTATTTATAAAAGTTATAGACTAAAACTATATTTAGTTCTAGAGTTAGTTAAGATTTAAATAACGTACTTTATAAGCAAACCGACTACATAAGCGAGCCGACTACCTTTTTCTTAGCAAGAAAATTAACGAAAATTAACCTGTTTTTCTTAAATAACTAAGCGGAACCGTAATATTTTTCTATAAAAATTTATATATATATTCTCTATAGTATATTACACCTTATAGTAAAGTTG